GCTCTTTACGGATAGGAGGAAAAGGCTCCTGAGTGCTTGACATCACTTTCCCTCGCTCAGTCATTCTCTACAAAGCCCATCACCAAGTGGTGGCCTGCATGTAGTGGTCTGGAAGTCTGGACCTCTGTCCGCTGACCTCACTGCAGGGGACCCTACTTCTGCAGACTTGCTTTTACACCCTGTTGACCAAACAAAAGAAAAACAAATTCCCAAGCCTGTCTGCTATCACCATTCCAAGTCTGCTGTTAATATTTGTCAATGCGTTAGCTGAGTAGATGCCCAAAGGATGCATTGGAAAGTGAGTCTGGGTGAGGATTTGAGATAAATTTGGGGAATAAGAGGCTGGAAGGCTTTCAAATATTATTCCATGTGTGTAGAAGGAAGAACTGATCATTTCTGATGACTGACAGCAGAGCACTGAACAGATAGGAGAGGGAAAGAGTAGAGCTACAAGTCAAGAAGCAGGGGATTCTTTGAATCATCCTCCATCAATCCATCACTTTTTTTTTTTGTTATACATATACAAGGGCATTCAACCAGTGAGCCACATCTCCAACCCTTTTTATTTTTTATCTAGAGACGGGGTCTCACTAAGTTGCTTAAGGCTTTGCTAAGTTGCTGAAGCTGGCTTTGAACTCAAGATCCTCCTGACTCAGCTTCTTGAGCTGCCAGTTGTGTACTACCAAGCCCGGCTATCACTCTTTTATTCTTTCTTTCTTCAAGATGTTAATTGAACATCTACTAAATGTCGGACACTCATCTAGGCTCCTTGGGGAAAAAAAGAAAATCTTAACTCTATGAAACTTACCTTCTAGTCAGAAGATACAGACAATTAACAACAAATGTAATAAATAAGCCACTTGTAGAGACAATTAGAACATATTCAAAGAAAAGTAGCAGAATCTGGAGTTCCATTGGGGAGAGAGGTATTGTATTTGGCCCCATCAAAAAAGTAAAATTTGGGGCTGGGATTGTGGCTCAGGGGTAGAGCGCTCACCTAGCATGCATGGGACCCTGGGTTCGATCCTCAGCACCACATAAAAATAAATGAATGGAATAAAGATATTGTGTCCAACTACAACTAAAAAAATAAATATTAAAAAAAGTAAAATTTGATCAAAGGACTGAAAGAGGTAGAGAATTACATGGCCATCTAGAAGAAGGACCATTCCAGGCAGGTGACAATGCTCATGCCAAGACCCTGAAGTGCACTGGACATGGTGGTACACCTGGCTATGTTGTTGACATTTTTGACTAGATGATTCTTGGTTGTGACAGGTGTTCTGTTCTGCATTACAGGGTATTTAGCAGCATCCCTACTGGCTAGCATCCGCTAGATGCCACTAGATGCACTCTACACTAGAGTGTGACAACAAAAAATGACTCCAGCCAGGTGCACTGGTACATGCCAGTAATCTCAGTTACCAGGGAGGCTGAAGCAGGAGAATCGCAATTTCGAGGGCATCCTTGGCAATTTAGCAAGATCCTATCTCAAAGTAAAAAATAAAAAGGACTGCTGAAGGGAAAAAAGTCTCCTGAGAATTTGGTGAGAGAGGTTGCCCTGGGTTGAGAACTACTGCTTGAAGTGAAATGGGGATAATTTAAAGATTTTTGAACAGAAGAGTAACACTCTGATTTACATTTTTAAAAAGATCAACTCAGTATGACCTATTAAAAATCGCCTTGGGGGGACTTGGGGTGAAGCACTTGCCTAGCATGTGTGAGGCCCTAGGTTTGACCTATTTTAAACAAAATAAAACAAAAACATCACCTTGGGTAGTGGGTAGTGGGGTGGCGACAGAAAGGAAAAAAGCAGGAAGAGTGTTTAGGATAATTCAGAAACTTGAACTAAGTGGAGGTGGTAAGAAGTAGTTAGATTTTGGATATATCTTATAGATATAGTCTATAAGATATGAAAGAAAGTAGTTAAGGATTATGGTGGGATTCTTGGCCTAAGCAACTGGAAGGATAGAGTTTCCATGAACTGAGATAGGGAAGACTGTGAGTGGAACAGGTTTTCAATGAGAAACCAGGAGACCAGGTTTGGTCATCCAGAGTTTGAAGTGAAATTCCAATAATCCAAGTGACAGAATATGAAGCACTGAACTGGGCAGCGATGGTAGAGATGGGCAAGATACATTGTGCTCAAGAGAAAGCCAGTTTGCGTAGTGGTGCACGCCTGTAATCCCAGCTGCTGGGGAGGCTGAGACAGGAGGATCTCGAGTTCAAAGCCAGGATCAGCAACAGTGAAGTGCTAAGCAACTTAGTGAGACCCTGTCTCTAAATAAAATACAAAATAGGGCTGGGGATGTGGCTCAATGGTTGAGTGCCCTTGAGTTCAATCCCTCGTATGTCCCCCACCCCCCGCCAAAAAAAAGAAAAAGAGAAAAAAGCCAGTTTGATTAAAAAAAAAAAAAGTAGGGCTTGGCACCCATCAAAGAAGTGGAAGAAAATCTTGTGATTTTATGACTGGAGCAATGCTGATAGAATGAGGATGAATTCCTGAAGAAAGAGACAGAACCTAGCATGAGAAAGAGGAAAGGAAAAGACAGTAGTTGCACCACTTATCATACTGGATTTGAGATGCCCAATGGTCCGGGCAAGAGGAAAGGTCTGGGAGTTGATGAACACAACTCTGGTGCTCAGGAATGATTACATAGCTAGAAAGAAACAAAAGGAATAACTCCTCCCTCCCAGAGTTACAGATGTTCTGAGAGAGACAGACAAAAAGAAGCAATTAAGGATGTCAATAGACTAAGAAGGAACAAAGATATCCAAGAAAGGAACAGGGCATTGGAGGTCAGGGGTGAATAAGGTTCTTGGAAAATCCAAATAAACAGAAACTCAGTTTAGCTAATGCTAGGTTCCAACACCTATGACAATACACAAGGTGTTTTAATGTTCAGGTCCAAGACCAATCCCTTCTGTTAAATTAAAAGTAAGAATTTATTGAGAGTCAGTTATTCAAAACTTACTCACTGAAGTCATAATGTTCAAGCTTGTGGAATCATAAATAATGTTTACTAGACATAGCACATAACAACGAACTGCTATCATACATTACCATAGTTCGTGAAAAATCTGTGCTTAAGTTTATACATGGGCTCAATAGGCCTCAGAGAAGCCAAGCTTTCTGTACCCTTTGCTATCACTGATTATTTATTTCTATCTTTGGATTTGATCAATGTGTTCCTTCTACAATGTTTTACAGACTTAGAAATATATGGAAAAATCAGAGATTCTGAAAATCCTTAAAGAATCATTCATAAATTGTGTGTTTGTTATATGACAAGTGTTTTGAACTCTTCCTGATTAAACTACTTATATCTATACAAAATGGGCAGCAAAAAAGAGACATGTACTCTCCCTAAAGGTTACAATAACACTGGAAGAAATTACTTGATCCTCATCAGATTGACCCTTCGTTTTCTCATCTCCCAATATCAAAAGGAAGCAGGCCTTTTGCAATTCCCTGAAATCTAAAGTTGAGATGAATTTGCCATGTCTTGACTGAGATAGCTTAGCTTCCTCCTCTCACCCACTTCTTTCCTTGGAACATGATCCCAATCTGAGATAGTCAAAGGTTTCAAAATACATGTCTAATAATTGCTCTGTATATTACAACTAACTGTAGCCAATGAGATGAAATACGTTTTCCTTTTCTATTAGGTTTCCAAAACCCTCACGTTCACTCATTTACTCACAATTCACTCAAAATTTATTGTGTTCCAACTGTGAGTGGTCACAGCCTCTTGCCTGGCTTCAGGGAGAACATGGCAGAAGTGTACTGGCACAGAGAACTGTACCCTTGCTGCTTTTGGCCTTCCAGTGCTTTCCAGTCCAGGTACTTATTAAAAATTATCTGAGTAAAGGAGAAAAGTTCTACAAAGAGCTGAAAGCTTTTTCCATTTCCAACAGATTCGCAAATAGTGGCCACTCTGAGGAATGTTTGGGGACAGCTCAGGGGGCTGGACCCCTCCTCTCTCACTGGAGAAACAGGGCAGCTTCTCTCTATTTCCCAGCAAACTTTTTAAACAGCAGGGCAGAGATGGCCAGATTATCAGAAAGGAAGAAGAAGCAGAAAGCAATGTGGTTTTCAGTTGCTCAGAAAGAATAAGTTTTATCCAAACTAAGGTGTATTCACTAACTCACCATATTTCTCAAACTTTCCCAGAGAAAATTCACAAGAGGGGCGGGCATTGGCATTAATATTAACAAGTTGCCACCAGCTTCAGAACAGAAGCATTTAACAACAAATGCAGTTTAAAAAAATATATATATCTCAGCCACCAACAAGGTTTGCATTTTGGAGGTTCCTCTCCTCCAGGTCTAGGGTGGGGCGCCCGCGCACACACACACACAAAAGTCCAGAAGAAAGAATTGCGAGTGTAGAAGGCTCAGATTTCTCCACTGTTACAGCTATGATGCTGATCTGCTCTGGGGGCGGCTGCAATTCTGTTCACAGCTCTTGGCAGAGTGGGGGTGGGGTGGGGGAAAAAATACAATGAAGAGCCAAGTGAGTTCTAGCTTACGGCGCCTCGGTTTCTGGAACTGCAACCTCAGATTTGTAGCCTTTATCCTCGTCTCCGGCTATTTTATAATAGGCTGTACTTTCTTGAGTTATTCAGCTTCAACCAACTCTGGCAACTTGCCCTCCTTAAGGAATTGCCCTCCGTCCCCAACAAATGCTCTGGGACAGGTGTTCACTTGTCAAGTGCAAAAAAACCCTAAGGGAGGTTTGGCCGTCTAGTGAGCCATGGTGAAGGAAGAGGGCTGGGGTGGAGAGGACTGCCCAGTTAGGCCCTCCTGGTCCGGCGCACCCCAGGGGAACCCAGAAAATACTCGCAGGACCAACAGCTGTCCCAGCCCGGAGACATCTAGCAGCGGGGCGGAGGGTCGTGGGGAGCGTCACGGCCTTCTCTGGGTTTGCCTGTCCCCGCTCTGGCCCCTACTCGACTCGGCCGCCCATCCTTACCTGAACGGTTCCTTACAGCACTAACCTCTTAGCTCGCTCGCCTCTCAGGACCCGGGACCCACAAACTGGGCTGTCCTAGCCTCGCCCACTTGTAGCTTGCCACGCCCCAGACGCTCGGGCCACGCCCCTTCATCGAGGCCACACCCCCTCCAAACTTTAGCGTCCCGCTACTTCTCTACGTACCCCTCTGGCCACGCCCCACCAGACTGTGCCAGTCCCTGCCCTCCGCCCTGGCCACACCCCTCCCACCTCGCCAAAGCCCCTCCGCTCTGAGCCTCGAGCCTTGCCTCTGAGCTCCGCTCTGACCCCACCTCTACCTTTCCCACAGGACCAACCCCACCTCTTTCCCTCTGCCTACCGCTGGCGGCATTTGTAGAGTGAGTCTCGTCTAAAAACTGGCATTCCTCAGGTTTCTCCCATCTCCAAACACCGTGACTTAATGTGCTGGGAACAGATGACTCAATAGGGAAACACACTGGACGTGTACTTTCCCTTTAGATTTCATGTCCTATTTACTCGAGTTTCTTAATATCCTCTAAACTTGAACTGTGGATCCGTGTTGCTTCCAACCAATTTTCATATCCTCTAAACCAGAACTGTAGAATCGTGTTCCTTCCAGCCCCTTGACTTTTGTCGACCTTAAATGCTAGGAAAATGCACAGAGTAAACGCTGTATTTTCCGGTGTCTCCTTCTGATGACTTTTCCTAGGCATTCAGTACCTTCTTGCTGTCTCCATTTACAACTCTGGGTCCATGAGAAAACCGTGAAGAAGTTATAACCAGCTTTCTTAAATCTCTGGCTCATTCACTCAAGCCATGTTTATGAAGCATATGCTCTCCTGACAAGCAAGACAAGCTTCAAGGACCTTTCAGTCTGAAGTTGCCCCAACTTAAATTTGGATGTGACCAAAAAAAAAAAAAGAAAAAGAAAAAGAAAAAAAGAAAGAAATGATGAGAAAGGGAGGGAAGTGTAGCAAGGAGTTGATAGGTGAAAAAGGACTTGGTTATGACAAGTCTTCTTGATCCCATTGTCAGGAACATTTTTGACAGAAGCAATTGGGGAGAGGGAGCACTGGGGATTGAACAGGGCCACTTAACCACTGAACCACATCCCCAGCCCCCCCATTTTAAATTTTTATTTTGGAGCAAGGTCTCACTAAGTTGTTTAGGGCCTCACTAAGTTGCTTAGGACTTCACTAAGTTGCTAGGGCTTCGCTAAGTTGCTGAGGCTCGTTTTGAACTTGTAATTTTCCTGCCTCAGCTTCCAGAGTCGCTGGGATTACAGGCATGCTCCACTTGGCCATAGGAAGCAATTTCTATAATACTTAGTACACTGTTTTATACAATAAATTTTTTATTGAATATCTTTACTTTTTACATAATCAGAATTTTCTCTTTGTAAGCTTTGCTACTTACGTTTCTTCATATGCCAACAACAAAGATTTTGTGATCACATACTAGTTCGTTTTTCTTTTCTTCTCACCCTCCATTCCATTTCTGGCTTGAAGACAGTGAGAATATTTGAAGTGTTGCCCTAGAAGGACCACAAGGAAAAGAACAAGTTTCAAGAGAACACTTTTATTAAGCTCACTCTGACCTTAAGAACTCTGCCTCATTTATAAAATGTTTCAGCTGTCAGTCATTTTTTGTCTGAAAAATGAACTCACAAAAAATTGGTACAAATAAATCCTGTATACATTACTGAGTTGGTTTTTATATACATAATTCTACCTCATCTTTTTCCATAAATTACTTGAGGCACATTACTAAGATATAGACATTACTAGGTGAAAGAAATACTTGACAGAACCAGGGAGAGGAGAGTTTAGTGGAAGGAGAACAATGTGGCTAATAAGACTAATATTTAAAGGGCTGGGGTCGTGGCTCAGTGGTAGAGTGCTCACCTAGCACGTGTGAGGCACTAGGTTTGATCCTCAGCACCACATAAAAATAAATAAATAAATAAAATAAAGGTATTGTGTCCAACTACAACTAAAAAAATTTTTTTAAATTAATATTTAAGCTTGTATTCTATCAGATCCAGAACGGTTGTCAAAGGCAGGACAGAAATTTGAACCTAAGCTTTTTAGCCACAGAAAAGAAGAGACAGCAATCATTTTAAGGGTTTCCGGTGTTCATAAGATAAAAATCAACTGGGTTATTTGTTTTTGTTTTATTTTTATAGATGCACAGTTTTTCTTGAATTTTAGTCCTGAGGGAAATCCTGTTTCCTCTTAAAATTGATGCAGTAAGCTAATTGGAAATTCAGTGTTATAAAGACTTGTACCCAGATTCCCTCAATGGAAACTGCTGGCACAATGACAAAGCAAAGTGCATTAAATTGATTCTATAAACCATCAAAACTTTTCTGTTCACTTGAATACATAGGCCCTCAGTGGTCTGCTGAATTCAGGATAGCAATTAGATGATGTCTCCCTGGGATAAATATCAGACAGTAGAAGACTTAAGACCTCTTTCTCAAGTTGTGCCACCCACACTGGTCCCAGAGCATTTCCCTTAGTTACTCTCATTGTTTGGACCACTCTTTGTCCAGATCTTTACAAGGCTTAGATCTTCAATTGTTTTTTTTTTCTTTAGATTTTCAATTGTTTACATCATTCTATTCTCAGCTAACTTGTACTTCTTTAGAGACATCTTTCCTGACAACTATATCTGAAGGTTTATCCAGAACCCCTCAATCTGTACTGTGCATAGGGACCACCTAGAGATCACATTTTAAAGTAGATCTGACGCAGTGGTTCTGGCATACAACCTGAGTTCTGCATTTCAAGCAAGCTCCCATGTTCCATGAAAGAAACTTCTGTTATGAAAATGAGAGCATCTAACAAAAGTGGCATATGGCCCAATGCCACTTACACCTCTTTATAAAAGCTGGCAAAGAAAGTTTGTATGGGCAGGGCTAAACAATATTGAGCAAATTCTAACAGGTGGCCAAATAAGTGATTAAAGATCAGAACTCCTAACTCTTATTTCCATGCATGGCTGTAAGAATTTTAGCCTAGAAAAACAGGCATTATGTGCCAAGACCATGGAAAATTTTTAACATAACACACAAAAGCAGTGTAAACAGGGCTGGGGATATATCTTGGTGGGTAGAGTGCTTGCCTCGTATGCACAAGGCCCTGGGTTCAATCCCCAGCACCACCAAAAAAAAA